GTGGGTGCTGGGAACCAAAGTCTGGTCTTCTGAAAGAGGACTAAATATTCTTAACCACTGAGTAATTTCTCCAGCCCCATTATACCCATAATTTTATTTAATGGAGGAGTTAATGGAGGTTTAACTGAACTTGAGTATTAGTAATGAAATTTTTATGTTTCAGAACCTTTATAATAGTTTTGGTTCTTTTTTCATGTAAAAATATATTAATGTAAGCCGGGTGGTGATGGCGCATGCCTTTAATCCCAGCACTCGGGAGGCAGAGCCAGGCGAATCGCTGTGAGTTCGAGGCCAGCCTGGGCTACCAAGTGAGCTCCAGGAAAGGCGCAAAACTATGCAGAGAAACCCTGTCTCGAAAAACCAAAAAAAAAAAAAAATAATAATAAAAAAAAAATAAAAAATCAGGCTTCTAAAATTCTTATCATTTATATTGAGTATAGCCATATTTAGATATAATTTATTTTGATCATAAAGTAACATAATAATTTTGGTTAATTTGGTTTAAGCAGGAAGTGGAATTAGCATCTTGGTCTTTCTATGATAAGGTAAAAGAAGAAGCAGTATGAAAAACTGTAGATCTTTATCACATTCTTCACTCAGAAAACTAAAACTCGGTTTAATGGAATGAGAATGAGACATCTCAGGCTTCTTTGTGGAAAAGAAAGTATTTCGGGATGGAAGACCCCAGCAAGCATCAGGTGGACCCAGCCAGTTTTAAGCTTATAAAGTTCTGTTTGATAAGTGATTGACTAGGTCAGATTATTAAACCAATTAATTTGGCATGTACATTGTATGTGATAAAAGGAATCCAACTGAGAATTTGAGTGTGTTAAATAATTTTCAGGAAGTCCCCTATAGAACATTTAAATGCTTTGAAACTTGCAAGAAGGCATGTTTGTTCCAAACACACTTGATTTGCCTAGGTTTGCCCATCAGGTTGAAGAAATGCTAATTTGTTGCATTCAGCAGCTGGGTTTTGCAATAGTCTTCTCCTCCTCCTAGGGGCTAATTAGCCTTCTTTCAAAATGTGGCCTATTTAGCCTTGGATTCTCATGACTCATCCAGAGCTGGCTGTACAAAGCAGAACCCTTAGCAGGCGGGTGTGTCCAACTGCTTAATTAGCCAGAATAAAAAGGTCCTTTGTCAAACAAGCATCTGTTGCTCATGACACACCTGACAGCCACATTAAGCAAGGATGACTAGACGGAAATTGTGCAGTCTCTCCTGTAAGAATATACAATTCATTTACATGTGGGCCACATCAGAGGCAAACTGCAGGGGGTTATTTAGCTTATCAAAATAGATTACTGTGACTACACTTGTGATTGATAAACAAATATCACTTAACAGGCACTGAAGGGACAAAACAACCAAATTACCCCTAGACATAAACAAAGCCTTAGAAACTTCTGCTGGTCAATGAGAATGTTATAAGCACCCAAATTTGTTCAGCTCCCTAAGGTGGTAGGCTGTGGACACTGCCCTCCTGGGACGAACTTCACTTTGCACAAATGTTGGGCATTCCCCAAAATAGTTTTAGTGTGTCAGTAGGTTAAAATAATCTATTTAACAAACTTTGATAAGAGGATTATACTCTCTCAATATATTTTATATTGTCATTGTTCTGCATTAAGATTAGGTTTATAGAGTTAGTGAACATAAAGTAGTTCTGGAAAAATATTTATTAGTTGGGAATTATTGCTTCAGTAGAGAAAATACTTTCATATCTGTAGGGACAGTGGTGGAATGGATCTGTCTCCATGATTGCTGGAAATGTACATTAAGAAAACATTATGAACCTCAAATTACTGTTCTGACTCCCAGTGTCCAGCTTTTTGTTTGGAAACTAAACTGTCATGAGTCTGCATCACAGTACACCCAGTGGCTATAAGCATGGATTTTCAAGCTAGACAGATGTAAAATGAATTTAGATTCTTCCTCTTCCTGGCTGCATGCTTTTAACAATTCTTAAACTTCATCCATGTTTCAGTTTCCACACTTGTTAGATAAGGATAACATCTGCATCATGGATTTCCTTTGAGAATTAAACTAGCAATTGTTAGTACAGTTAGACTGGTTTCTAGCACCAGGAAAAGACTTAGTAAATGATAGACCGAATTGTAGTTAGAGCTGTTTAAGCCTGGTTGTAGAAGTCATAAGTCTGTTAGAGAGAGTTTTCTCCAGGACTAATGGAGGTAGTGAAATTAGAGACGAATGAAGCCATTTCGTCAGAAGCCTAGAGAGAATGCTCAGGGTTTGAGAGCGCTGGCTGTTCCTGTAGAGGATGTTTCCAGCACCCACAACCATCTGTAACAGCAGTTCCAGGGGATCCTAAGTCCTCTTTGGACCTTCTTGAGAACCAGGCATATATTTGGTGCATATATAGACATACATACAAAGTGTTCATACACATAAATCTCATACATTTTTTTAAAAAGCTAGTCAAATGAACAGAAATTAGAATTAGCAGAAAGTACTCTGGGGTTTGATTGATACTTGGGTGCACTAGATTGGGCTCCTTATGCCAATTTTGATGTAGTATAGACAGAGCTGGAGGCCAAATAGAAACTTCTCTCCTACTCTCTAGTTTTGAATTTTAAAACAATCATTTCTCCACACTTGTGTAGTTTACTCTTGTTGAATAGTTGACATATTTTGCTTCCTTTATGGTTTCTTCATCTAAAATTTTACCAGTTTGTGTTATTCTCATTATATTTACCTGGGCACTCTGTGTTATTAAACTCAGAGCTTTCAGTGTATCCTGCAAAGTTGAGAGCATGAACTTTATTCTGACATCAAACCATTCTTTTCTGTTTCCTATGTATGTGGTAGTGTGTAAGTGGTGAGTGATTTGACATCTCCAAGCTTCAAACTGCTCACCTATAAAATGAAGAACATTATAGTTTTATTTGTTAATGCAAAATATTGGCACATAGCTAGTCCTGGTAAAGTTCCAGCTAGCTCTGTGCTAAACAGGAGGGAGTATTCGTGCAGGAGACTTCACACTCTATTCACACTCTTTGGGAACCCACACTCTATTGATGGAGTGGAGTAAGGAGTAGCACTACTTGGCTACACATGACTTCTGTATCTGTCCATCTAACCAAGGTCTACTGGTTACCCTGGAGCTGTGAGACTGAAAATCCTCACATAGATGCTATCCAGCACCATCCATTCCTTGTTCCTTCCACAAACCTTACATACACATTTAGCTCCTTTGTTATAACACAAAATGTAATCAATACTCTGTGTATACTTAATAAATCAAAGGACCTGAAAGGTTTTTCCTTTCATTTTTGGATTGCTGCTTTTCTCCCTATTTGTCATAGAAGAAAAAAATAAAAGGAAGAGATGTGGCTCCTAATTTATGTATTCTCTTTTAAGAAAAAAGGTAATTTTGAAGGGGATGGCCAGTGCTGGAATCTAACCTAGGGATAATTAAGCACTCTTTCATTGCACTGTAGCCTAGCTTTGGCTCCCAAAATTTGGAGCATCAGTATCTTCCCTCACCCTAATCAAACAAGAATTTTGTATAGTAAATGATATCATTCTCATTTAGTCTTAGGCATCTCCATGGTTATAATACTTGTCCCAATTTAACACGATTGTTACATTTAAAAGAGCCACAATTTGTAATATTTCACATAAAATCTTGATTTTTCAGCTTCTTTTAAAAATCACAACAGTTTTCTACAAGTTGGTCTCCCATATCCAGAAAATCCTCGAGCTGAATGTTAGCCTATCTATGTAAATGATGCCTTAGCTGAAGTCTTTACCTTTCACCCCTCTCTTCCTTCTTCAGTATAACCAAGGTCCCACAATTAAAAGTGAAAGCCAGGTTGTTTCATGGAATAATCTATTCATGAATAAATGTATTTATGAAAAACACTCAGAAGAGCCCTTTACATCTCTTGAACAACCGGTGGCAGTTGTTATTTCTAGACTTTTGTATCTAATGAGATTTGTGTAGCTTTAGGACTTTGACCAAGAAAGCAATAAGAAAATTCACAGATCACCTACAAAAATGCCACTATAAAACTGTAGAGAAAATCACTCCAGTCAAAATGAAAAGCACAGCCCCAGCTTTTCTCTTGCCAGGTTGACGATGTTTCTTAACCTGTCTGGGCTATAGATTTTGCTTTCTCAAATAAGAACAGATTTGTTGTTTTTCAAGGTCCATTCCTAAACCTGAACAAGATGATAGCTGTGGAAAAGAATTAGATTGGTCACACTGTGACAAAGATTTTGAGTAGAATTAATTTTCTCCTCCAAAGAACTGAATACTTGAGAATTTAATTTTCTTAAGGAACATAAATGCCAGCTGTGCTGTCTACTAGTTTAAACTGCAGTGTATTGCTTTCCATAGGGTATCAAATGGTGTCTCCTACCTTTAGCCACATACCAGAAAATTCACATTTATTTTTTATTGAATTTGTAAGTAGCAAAAGAAGATATCACTGCGGAAGCCTAAGAAAATTAGAAAACATGATCCTGTGTCTGAATTTAGAGTATATCAGTATATATAATGTTTGAATAATAACTTTTAAATTTAGAAATGGTTTATTCTATATTCTGCTGCTTTATTGTCATCCTAATAGCCTCGAAAAGTGTCTAGAAAGTATGGTACATTACATTGTCATCTATTTTAGGTTGTGGTCTGAGATTTGAATATCTTGAATATTTTAGATCATAGTTCATTACAGGATTGAAATACTTTATAACAGTTGTGTCCAAGGACAATAACTTTCATTTAAGTTCTTCCTCTTTCATTGAAGATCAGGAGGTACTAATAAGGATTTTTACAAAAGTAAACATTATTAATTTTATTAATAATTCTATTATTACTCTTTATTTAGTTAAACACTGATCAGAATGACTAATCACATGCCTGAGTTACTGTGGTGTGATGTTTGGAAGTCTCAGTTTTTTGATGCTAGGAACACATGCAGTGAAGCTCATGCTGCAAGGCCAGCATTGTAAACTTTTTTCCTCTGTTCCAGAGACCATCATGCAGACTTCAGAGACGGGTTCAGACACAGGGTCGACAGTGACTCTGCAGACGTCTGTGGCTAGCCAAGCAGCAGTGCCTACACAGGTGGTACAGCAAGTGCCAGTCCAGCAGCAGGTAAGGACCTGTTGCTTCTGGAGCGCTGCTGCGCCTTAGGTGTCTAACAGCTCCCTTCAAAGAGGACTAGCAATTTACTTGCTGGCCTCCTGGAGGATGGAGATAGGCATAGTTCCCTTCTGGTTAGCTCAGCAAGTGTTGCTTGGATATTTCCCGGGTGTGCCATGTCCCTTCCTTGCTGGACTGTAGACCATGTTCCTCTTCTAAGAGCTTCTCCTAGCTCTTAAAGGGAGGTGACTTTCCTGACCTGTCCACCTGTTTTCTGCTCTTTTCTTCCCACTGCTTACTAGAACTTCTAATCTCTTTTATATGCAAATGTCACCAATGGTATTTTTTACATAAGTTGAGAGTTGTATTCAATAATGGGAAGCATAATATACTTTATAGGCAAGGATTTTGCCTTTGTGGTGTTTCAGGAATTGCCGTGGCACTAGTTGGCTGTTAAATACTATTTAATGAAAATAAAATTATCTTAAAGGTCTGGAGATCTGACTCATCCCATTTAAAGAACTGCAAAAGAATTAATCACCAGATGCTTAGTACCGGTCTTATTCATGCTCAGGGAATTTGGCTTGTTTTGGAAAGATACTGACAAAGTATTGCTGTTCATGCCAGGTAACAGTTCTGCATGTGGATTGTGAGCTCACCGGCATGTCACTTTTTCCAAATAGTGGCAAGAACTTACATATTTCAATATACTAGTTATGTTTATGTTTCTTCGTAATTTATTTATTCCTCCCTCCATCCATCCCTCCCTCCCTCTGTCTCTCCCTTCCTCTCTTCCCCTCTCTTTCTTTTTTTCACTACTACTAAAAAGGAACTTGTAGCACGAATATCAAAAGGTCTTATTAATAAAATCAAACCTGGGAGCCAGGTATTGTGAATACTAGAAGATCAGAGAGACAGAACACAAACTACAGCTGACCTCACCTCACCCACTTCTCAGTTGATCCTGTATCCTTGAACTGGAAGCCTCTGTGTCCTCATTCAGATTGCTCTCAGCTGAACTGCTGCTCAAAAGCCTAAAAGCTTAACCAGCTCTAGTTCCTGGTTTTCATGCCTTATTTTATACCTTTCTGCTTTCTGCAATCACTTCCTGGGATTAAAGGCGTGAGTCACCATTCCTGGCTGTTTCCAGTGTGGCTTTGAACTCACAGAGATCTAGGTGGATCTCTGCCTCCCAAGTAATAGGATTAAAGGAGTGTGTGCCACCATTTTCTGGCCTCTATGTCTAGTCTAGTGGCTGTTCTGTCCTCTGAACCCAGAAAAGTTTATTAGGATGCACAATATATTGGGGAACACAATATATCACCACAAGAACTTCTACCAATAGTGCCATAAAAGCCACTGGGATTACTGACACCATTACCAACTTCATAATTTAACACTCTTCAGAGAAGTAGGGCTTGCTCCAAAGAGGAAGTAAAAACCAACTGAGACACTGTTCTGCATTTCTAACTTTAAAGAGTTAACACTAATCTGTTAATAGTAAGCACTTGCTGAACAGGTGACCTCTCTGGTTCAGTTTTGATCCTACCCATGGAAAAATGGCACTTCAAATGAAAATAGAATGTGCCAGAGGTTCGTAGTCCCAGAACATACCCTCTTGAGATGGTGGCCTGTCTGCAGTCTGTTTCTGACCCTCTGCCCTTGTTCTTGCTCTCTTCCTATCATCTTTTCTTTGTTTTATGTTTTCAGAGAAAGCTTTTCCCTTCATTAAACTTGTCTATTGTCCAGAGCTTACTAAAATTTATAAAGAGTGTATGTAATGGGGAAAAGAGCCAGATAATTCAGTGAGTTTGTTACTGAAATAAATGGTGCAGAGCTTAGCCTCCCTCTTTTTGCATGGACCGTCCCTCAAAGGGAGATTTGTCTCTTATGATTTATTATTTTTATATGTACTTACATGGATTTAAAAATAGCTTATTCTTACTACTTTGCTATGTCTTGAATTTTTTCTGTGTAGCATTATGATAACATGCTTCATTTGGGCATGCAAAATATGATTTCTCTCTCTCTCCCTCTTTCTCTTTCTGTCTCCCCCCACACACTTCCTATTCTTCATGCTACTAATATTTTAGTATGTATTTTCTTTGTTTTTACAGTACTGATAGTAGAACCCACTCCTTAGTACTTTACCAAGATGTATGTCTGCAGCCTTCTTCTGATATATTAGCATAACTGCTGTCTCTGGTCTATGGAACTTTTATTTCAAATACATTGCCTACTATTTGCATTATAATGTGGTAGAGCAATATCCATTGTTTATACTGTCATGTAGAAATGCTGCTAACAGCAATGTAAACAAAGACTACCTTCCTTTCCAGTAAAACTCATACACTTTGTATAAACTTAATGATGTATTTTTTTTAGTTTGTGAGACTGATATACTCTTAAAAAAATTAAAATTAAAACAGTCTGGAAAGATGGCTCAGTAGTTAAGAGCTCATACTTCTTTTGTAAGACCCGAGTTCAATTCCCAACACCTACATTAAGTGATGTTAACTAACTTGAAGCCTGTCACCAAAGGGATCAAGTACCTCTCTCTGCCTCCATGGGCACCAAGACTGTAGAGTATATCTCTTCCCTCACATACACATAATTAAAAGTTAAAGAAATCTTTAAAATGCAGGTTGATATGTACAAGAAAAACACTCTTCTGACATCTGAGCCTCTGTCTGGGGCCTATGAGATGTTTTTATCTCTGAAAACTTGAATAAAATGAATAAAATCCAATTTCCTGAAGCCTTATGGTAAAGTAGGTAGATTTTGACACATTGTGCTGGAACCTGGATGGGCCTTTCTCCTCTCAACACCTGGGTCCTTGATTTTGGATATGTTCCGGTTTTTATTAATGGCTGTCTTCCCTTTGTTTCCTTGTTTTCTGGTTTTTATTAATGACTTTCTTCCCTTTGTTTTCTTCTGACACACTTTCTTGATCGACTTTCATTATTTTCATGTTAACTTGTTATTAATTTCTAATATACCACATCTTATTGAAAATTATTTATATTTACTCTTGTAACATTACATTTTATTTTGTGGTTCTTGTTTGCTCTCTCTCTGAAGATATTAATCTTTTCATACAATTTATTTCAAGATAATCTGTTTTGAAGTAGTGTGTGATAATATATGCCTATAATCAGTACTGGGTTGGCTGGGGCATGAGAACTAGTTTGAGGCCAACCTAAGTTATGAAGTATAGGCTATTTCTAAAAGCCAAATTAATAACCAGAATTTAAATGACACTACAGTGTTTCTGCTTTGTAAAAAAATTCTTTTGTTTTTGAGATTATAATATATTTATATTATTTTCCCCTTCCCTTTCTTTATTCCAAACCCTTCTATGTACTCCTCCTTGATTGCTTTCAAATCCATGCCCTCCTTTTTGACTAATTATTGTTACATGTAGGTAATATATTTATATACATATAGAATCTGAAATACATAAATACAACTCAGTCTGTATAATGCTCTTTGTATGTGTTTTCATTGCTGACCATTTTTTATTGGATAACTAGTTGATATATTCTTCCCTGGGGAAGACTGTTTTTTCCACTCTCACCATTTCAGAGTTGCTTGTAATTCTTTGTGTAGAGTTGAGGCCTTTTAATCTTTGATCTGTCCACTTTGGCATATCTATTGTCCATAAGATTAGGCAGTCTTACTTGTGAGACTTTATTGGGTATACCTTCTGACATTTCTAGGAGATACAGCCTCACAGCAGACTCCCAGATCCTCTGGCTCTAACAATTTTTTCCACCCCCTCTTCTGTAATGTTCCCTGATCTTTAGGTTTGATGGGTTGTTTTGTAGATGTATCCATTGGTACTGGGCTCTGCAGTTCTGCATTTTGATTAGTTGTGGTTTTCTATAATGGTGTCTAACTGTTGTTTTTCTATAATGGTCTCTAACTGTTGTTTTCTATAATGGTCTCTAACTGTTGTGAAGAGAAGTTTCCTTTATGAAGGGTAACTATACTGATTTGTGTATACAAAGACAAATATTTGGAATGTAGTTAGGCATTATGCTGCTTAATAAAGTGGTGGTTGTAGCTTCTCCAAGATTCATGACTTCACTGTCCTTGGGTATTTGGCTAATCATGATTTCCCTCCTTTTGATTGGGTGTTAAGTTCAATTAGAGAGATTTTGGTTATTGCCCAAGTATCTGTACCTTCACAAGGCACTCTTGCACCTTTTGTGTTATCAGACCATGCTGGTAATTATTGTGGTTCATAGGCATCATAGCTCCGTAGGAGTATCAGTTGCTTTCTTCCTTTGGAAGCTTCATGATGCCATCTGGTAACATGAAAGCTAGTTTTCAGAGATGGAGCTTTCAGGTCAGTTTCAGCTCAGGGCCTCTGGGACCTATGTTTGAAGTGTGCGGTATCTTCAGCGATAGAGGTTACCTCTACCTCTAGGGGTGCAACCAAGGTCAAAAGCAATAAAAACAATAGCCTGTAGTGTTTGTGGAGTCTCTTGAACAACTCTGCCAACAACTCAAAATAGGGTTGGTCAAAAATGCTTGATGTTTGGGTTTTTGTTAGATGGTCTTTGGCTCTTGGAGGGAGCATTGCCAGTCCAGATGAGAAAATTTCATTTGAAGTATTTATGTATATTTATATACAGAAATATAGGGTTGTTGTTGTAAATTGTAGTATGTTTCCTTATAACTATTCAGACATCCTTACTGTTAGTTTACCCTTATGGTTTTTTAACCTTTTCCTTCTGTATTTTCTTCTCCTTCATAATTAGATACCCATTTTCCCCATTTCCCTGTTTAAATCACTTGTATCTTGTTATTCCTTTCTCCATCATTTCCTCACTCCCTTACTCTGATAATGGTCCCTCTTTACTTTCCTGGTTTTGGCAGTTACTCCAGTATATGTCCCCACAGCTGAGGATCTGTAACTAGGAGCTTGTGATGAGAAAGAGCACGCCACATTTGTCTTTCTGGGTCTGGATTACCTCACTCCATATGACCTTTTCTAGTTCCATCCA